AATACTCATCGATTAAATTATTAAATTTTATAGTTTTAAATTCTCTCATATTTAATTAATTTAAAAATAAAATTTTTAATAAATATGATACGTGATGTATTAAATTAAAATGTATATTAATTATTATATTTTTATTTAATAGTAAAAATTGTGAAACTTAAAACTTTACTTTATTATTATTATCATTATTATTTTGAATTGCATAATAAAAGATTTTTTTTTTTTCATTCTCTAACTCACCCGGCGCAAGCCTCTCCTCATTAATTAATCACTACCATTATGCATTCCTTATTAATTAATCACTACCATTATGCAGGGAATTATACTCTTTTGTTTTGTATGCGCCGCGCGTATCATATATAGATTTTTAGGCTTGGGGGACCAACTAATTAAAAGCCAGAGCAATAATGTCCGTCTGTATTATTTCAGTTGGTTAGGAACCTTCAATAATTTATGTTAAGTGTTTTAGCATTTTTCTTCATTATCAGGGTGCCAGGTTTTTTTTTTTTTTTTTTTTTGGTACTAGGATTCCAGGTTTTTGAGAAACAGGCTCTCTAGGTTGTTGTAATCATGGTTTTTAAAATTTAATTAAAGTGTCCGATTTTCATCAACATTTCTAGATTTTTAAGGTTTTGTAGCTTTTTTTTTTAAAAAAAATTTCATGACCCTTATAATTGTTGGGGAAAATAGGGGACAAATAAAAAATAAAGAATATATAATTAAACTAAAATTGGTTGAGGTGAGTAGTCACTTTTGTTAAAATTAGATGGCGCCTCTCAGAGAATATTTATTGGTGTATTAAGTTAACAAACAGCATAATCTTCAAGATTCAACAACCATATATGTCATTGAAAATATTACTCAAACTCAAACGTAATTTTTTTTTTTCAAAGTCTTCATTAACCATGCGTGTGAAACTGGTATAAAAATTTTGCAAAAGGTTTTAAGTAACAAATAAACAAATCTTGATTGATTATCTCTTCTTTATAAATGGTGATATTTATTTATTTTTTATCTTAATTTTTTGAAAATTAATTGTCTTTTCATTTAAAAAACTGTAATAAATCACAGTTATTAATATTAAAAAATTAATGACTATTATTTTATATAAGATTTATTTATTTTGTGTGTAAAAAGATCCTAAGATAAAGTTATGATTTTTTTTTAATGATAATTTTGAGCCATTTTTCAAATACCATCGACTTCCACTGAATCAGTACATCATCATTGATGCATGTGATGCGTTTTTCTTGTAAAACAAAGGTACATTTATTTTAAGTGAGAATCTAAATCACATCCATGATATATAATACATAAAAGGAGGATTTGAAGAGACCCACAAGCTCAAATTCAAACTCTTACCTAATCTTGAAAAAGAATAGTTTGAAAATTGCATGCTGGCGCAGATATATATGCCCAGCAAGAAAGTTACATTGAGAGATTAGCAAAGTGACAAAGAATGAAATGTACAAAAAAGAGTGACAGAATGATACCATGAGAAGCTTGAAATTACACGCACGTATTTTCTTAATGAATGAATTGCGCAACAATCAGGGGGTTGCGAAGAGAATGTATGCATGATGCTTCTCTTTATTTGGCAGTTCTTGTTGTCATCACTCCACCAAACATGGCACAATTTAACATGGATTCCATATCACAGCCTGGCTCCTTGTGGAAATTGGACAGTTTTGCATGTGTCCGTCCTTCATAAATAGAGAAAACATTTTGTCTGCATGTATGTAATTTCAAATATAGACAGTAAAGCAGGTTGTTGTGCTATATATCCTGTTTTAAAAGTTAGTTTATATTTTGGGATAATACGAGTATTTGGACTTTAAACCATTTAATCTCATAAATACTTGTAAATTTCCTCATCCACTATAATTAGAGGATTAGATTCAAGTTATTTGTGTGGTATGCAAGGTAACTAAATGGATAACATTTAGGTTTCATTTGACAACACTTCTCAATATTTTAGTTTTTAGTTTTAATATTTTTTATTTTTAAAAAATATAAAATATTAATCAAAATAAATATTAAATATATTTTATATATTTTTAAGATATTAAAAATTAACAACTATAACTAAGCTTTAGATGAACAATTCGAAAACAATATATAAAATATAAAAAAAGAATGGTTTATGGGTTGTATTCTATTTGCCATGATTTTGATAGAAAATGATATATTATCTTCATGAGAATATATACTATATATAAACTTACATTATTATATATTTTCACATATCAATTAACCGATGAAGACAATCTATTCTCTTGTTTTTGTATACAAAGACCAATGGATACATCTCACGTATCAAAAAATCTCCATGATGAGATTATATATCATTTTCTAATGTGTTGGCTTTGCATATAAGTCTTTGATGTTTGATATATCCAATAAATTCTTTTAGACTCTAATTCCTCTCTCTCTCTCTAATCAGCCCTCTAATTCCTATTTTCTCTGCTATTCAAAAATGATACAATTACAAT